CTTTCTGGCCTGAGGGAACAGAAACAAAGAATTAAAATTATCACTCAGGGTTCCTTTGTTTAAGAGGGTTAAATTTAATTTCCTTGATTGCTTTTCAAAGTGCCAAGAAAGACCTTTCAATGACATTAAATAGTTGCTTCACCATTGTTGCCCAGGTAAAACAGGGTCTTTCTTTATCTTCCTTTTCTGGCAAGAATTTCTTTTGTTTCTCAGTCATTCCTGCTCTAACAAATATTTTACATACATGATATGACCTTTTTGTGGCTGCAAAATTGAATGAACAATGAATCTGTTCTTTTTATACATTTTTAACACCAATGTGGAGTTGATTATTTAACATATTTAACTCCTTCATCAGCAAGTTAGCATTTTACTTTTTCCCTTTTCATCGCTTTTCAGCTTTTTCTGGGTTTTGCAAAAAATTAAAGGCTAAAAAGTGAAAAAGCTAACTACCAGTCAACAACCTTAGACTACAGGTGTTCTAGTAAGTATGAAATGAATTGAGGACACTGCTGTGCATGATGTAGTCTGCCAACATCCATCCTAACACTGTATTTAGGTTGGCCTGGTCAGCATTAGTCATGGTGTCGAAGATGGAGAGAAAGGTGGTGATGTGTGACAAAGTGGTGGGCATTGTTGATTTTCAGACTCCGACATGATGCCAACATTGAATATTCGATCAATCATCATGCCACCAGCTTGAACCTCCACGTCAACCACACTTGGGTGACCTTCTTAGATGTCCATTGGCATGACCTGCCCAAGTCCTGCCTCCAATCAAGTTGAAATGCTTTAACCCTCTTGTGGTGATGATGTCATTTGAGTGCATTGGCTGGTTCTTGGTGTTGAGTTCTGGATCCAGGCTGAAGGTACCACTTCCTCCCCTTTTCCTGTGTGTTTATGCTTCTGAGGCTTCTGTTTTTCAGCAGGAGATTTGCTAGTTGACCTGCAAGATTTGTGTGGTGAGAATTGTAGAGATAGTATTGTTAGTGTTACTTGTAGATACACATTTTGCTGTTTCATAGCTTTTCCACTTTTTCTAGTCTTTGAGTAACACAAAAAGTAGCCAGCTTTTTTGGATTAGCCACATAGCTTTTTTGACCTGTCACTTTTGTCCCTTTTTGCCACTTTTTTCCCTTGTGCAAGCGGAAAAAAGCTATTTGTTAAACTACTGATGTTTTTATTACCTCTTTGCC